TTGGTTGGTTGGTTGGTTGGATGGATGGATGGTTGGTTGGTTGAATGGTTGCTTTAGTTGGTTGAATGGTTGGTTGGTTGGATTGATGGTTGGTTGGTTAGTTGATTGGCTGAATGGTTGGTTGGTTAGTTGGTTGGATTGATGGTTGGTTGATTGGATGGTTTGTTGGTTGGATGGATGATTGGTTGGTTAGTTGGTTGGATGGATGGATGGTTGGTTGGTTGAATGGTTGCTTTAGTTGGTTGAATGGTTGGTTGGTTGGTTGGTTAGTTGGTTGGATTGATGGTTGGTTGGTTTGTTGGTTGGTTTGTTGGTTGGTTGGTTGGTTGGTTGGTTGGTTGGATGGTTTTGTTGGCTGAATTGTTGATTGGTTCGATGGATGTATGGATGTTGTGTTGGATGGATGGATGGATGGATGGATGGTTGGATGGATGGATGGATGTTGTGTTGGATGGATGGATGGAGTTTAAAACAATAACATGGTTTTAACGTAGTGTTAAATAATTATAAAATTTCATGTGCATATTGACGGCACCAACACATTCACTCTGAGTACTTGTTTACATGTTGGATTTTTATTTTTAATAAATCAGCTGAAAATTCAAAGGTCTTCATTTTGTCACCGAGGAGAAAAATGAATTTGATCAACTTTGGAACAAGAATAATAATAACATGTAAAAAGACCTGGTGCCCTGCAGAAACCTTGTGCACGTTTTCTTCACCTCCAACAATAAAGTTTAAATCAACAGTTTCTATTTTCAGGACAACAACAATGATGGGTTTTAAATGTAAGAGCTTAAAGAAACCAGGAAGTTGGGAATTCCACATTTAGGATCAGCTGTTGCTCCCGTCAAGACTTCTTGAAGAAAATGTTCTTAAAATCCACAAAGACGTCACCAGTAATCTGAACTGGGCTTAGTTTTCTGACCAGTCGCCTCTTTGTGTGTCTGACACAGGAAACAAGCAGAAGTGGGTTCCTCTGATGATCGAGGGTCCCAGGGAGCGCTCGGCCTCCAGGAACAACAGCCGACAGAACGAACACCCCCGCCTGCCTCCCAACGCCAGGAACGACCTGAGAGGTCAGTCTGCTGTCCCCCCCCCCCCCCCCAACGCTTCATGCTCTGTTCTGAACTTTACACAGCAGCAGCATGAGACGTGCTCTCGCCTCATTTTCTCTGTTGCAGTGGTTAAATAAAGCACATTATTTATTTATGGCTAATGCTGCTGTTTACTCCTGCTTTTATTTTGAAGTTTAGAGGTTTGACATTAAACACATCTTAGAAGATGTAATTGAAAATGATGGTTTGTCTGGTTTTAAAACAGAAAATACTTTGTGTGTGTGTGTTAGTGGAGTGCGCTGTCGTGTTTACGGTGACTTGTTTTTTTGTTTTTAATTTGCAGACTGGCATAGTCAAAAGTACGAGCGAGAGTGGCGCGACGACCACGACGAGGTGTCCAGCGTCAAGAGCGAGGGGGCTCCTTTCCGTGGAGGGTTCAGAGGTCGCGGCCGTGGGAGAGGGCGAGGACGAGGGCGAGGCCGAGGCGGTGGCAGAGGTCGGCTGTTTTCTTATGACCCAAAAACAAAATAAATAGGATCGACTTGCTGCTTCTTTTGTCGACGAGGCTTTCGGCTCCACTTCGGAGCTTTGTTGTCGTTAGCAGACACCTCTTTATTTTAGCACTTCCTCACGGCGTCGTTCCAAACTGAAATGTTTAAAAAACATTATGAAGCATTCACGCTGTTGTGATCCACTTTTCTTCTGTAAGTTTTTCAGCATCTTTCTTGTTCCACCATTTTCGTGCTATTTCAACGAATCCTAAATTGAAACGTTCAGCTGTTTCAGGTCAATCCTGCCACAGCTGTTGGTGCAACTTTAGCTTTTTGAAATATTTAGCCTTTTCTGACATTTTTTCCTCATAGAAAATTAACTGAGCTCGTTTTACCTCCTTCAACTCTTTAGATCTGTTCACAACTTTTTACTGCTCCTTTCACATTTTGTTCTGCTTCAGCTTCTTTGTGCAAATTTAAACTTATTTCAGCTACTTTCATCTAATTTCATCTGTTTTTTTTCTACCTTTTTGTGCTCCTTTCTGATTCTTTCTACCAACTACAAAATTGTTGTGCTTCTAACTTTCTGCTTATTTCAGCTTGTAATGCTCCTTTCAGCTTATTTATGCAAGTTTCAGCTTTTTCTGCTATTTCAGCTACTATATTGCTGTTTTATGCTAATTAAATTTTTTTCATCCTAATTCAGCAAAAATGTGCTCTCAATTTCCTTCTGGTAATTTAAACTTATTTCTGCCTTTTTTTTTTTAGCTTTTTTTATGCTAATTTCAGCTTTTTTCAGATAATTTCCGCATTTTATGCTCATTTCTGCGTAGTTGAGCAAACGTGTTCTTTCTGTTTTCTTCTGTTAATTTAAGCTTGCTGTAGTTGTTCTGTTAGCTTTTTAGCATTTGTAGCTAATTTCACCTGTTTTCAGATAGATTCAAGTTATTCATGATAAATTTAGCTACTTCCAGTGAATTTAACTTCTTTCTGTTAATTTCAGCTTATGCTTCTTTCAGCTTAATTATGTTAGTTTCAACTTGTTCTGCTATTTCAGCTACTATTTAGCTGTTTTACGCTAATTTTAGCATTTTCAGCTAATTCCACACATTTTTAGCTCATTTTAGCTCTTTCCACTTCTGGTAGTTTAAGCTTCTTTCTGCCTTTCAGCTACTTTTCAACCATTTCTTTTTCTAATTTCAGCTTTTTTAGCTAATTTCTTAATTTTTGGACTTATTAAACCTAATTCAGCAAATATGTGTTCGTTCTGCTTTCTTCTGTTAAATTAAGCTTGTTCTTCCATTTTAGCTACATTTCAGCACGTTTCTTAGCTAATTTCAGCTGTTTCTCAACAAGTTCTTCTGCAGTAAGCACTCGCACTGCATTTTTGCAGGAGATGCAGTTTCACTATTGTTTGTGTAACATGAGGTTCAGGAAGTAAAAGAACGAATGTAGAGGTAGTTTAAAATCAAAAAGAGGTTGTGAACTCACGTTTCTGCACTTCTGCTCCATTTATTTGTTTTTTCTTTTATCAACTATTGCAACACGAGCCAGTCTGCTTTTTTATTTATTTATTGTTTTACAGTACATCAGACATTATTTAAACAATTAAGGTCATAGATGTGTCTGTGCAGGCTCGTCCTCTGTGAAGGGAGATAAGTGAACTCCATGGTACTCTTCATTGATTTTACTGGCGAGTTTAAAAGATGATAATTTATTAAACCCATATTTTCTCTTTTTTTAAACCCCAGCCACACACGGTTGGATGTAGCATCAGAATCAGGCGTGCTAGATGAGGTAGGCTGGAGAAGCTGATGGATGTGCACATTTTTAGCGCGTTTCTCAGGCTGCTGTTGCTCTGCTGCTGGCTGGTTGCTAACCCTGATCTGGCCCCATCGAAGCCACAATTTATTTAAAAAAAGGAGAAATGTGCAATAACATCCAGAGTGCGTTGGAATGGAGCAAAGATTTTGGATCCAACAAGAGAAGCAGCGTCCCCTGAAGCCGTTTTATTTGCTTTGGCTGGTTTCTTACGTTGTTCACACTTTTTCCACACACCTCGTCTTCTATCAGTCCGTGCACTTTTCCTTTTCTGTCCTAGTTCAGCTGCGCAGATTTATGCCAAAGATCTGGTGGTGTTTGATTATGTAAAGCAAAAGGGCAGAAGAATTCACGCAGCCCAGAGGAGTATATATATTTTTTTACCTGTTTTTGACTTTTTTTTGTTTAGTCGAGTAAGAAGTCCTGATGCAAAGAAACGATCAGATTCAAGGTTTATCAGATCAGTTTTATTAGAATTTTCTCAGTAGAAACAATGTTTACACACTTCTAGTTTCCTCGTTTATTTAGGAACGTCTTAATGAAGCAACATTAAGCAGGAGACCCTTTTTGTAAATACAGTCTTTAGACTTGATCTGTTTTATATTTTATTAGTCAAATGTATTTATTGTGCTCAAAGGCGCACTTGGACTTCTCTGTAGCAGCCAAGCCACAACTAACAGAGAAGAAAAATGTGAACGCTTTTTAAAAAGGTATTTCTCTTGGGTTAAGAAAATACAATAGAAACTAAAAAAACAAAAACCAAGGAGCGTAGTAATCGTCTGATCTGGACTTGCAATAAAAATAAATATAAAATCAAATATCTTCCAAAGATGGAGCACGAAATGTTAAACCATTCACACGTAGCTGCTCAGGTCGCTGACTGTTGGTGTAGGAAAATGACTCATGATGTCAGAGAAACTGAATGAATACACAAATGGCTTGCCATAGCAGGTGCAAGTTTCTCCATACCTGCTGGCCACCTCTCGTATCCCTCGACTCCTGTTTTAGATTGTTGGAAGACTTTTCATGCAGCTGATTTGAAACCAGTTCGTTACGCTTTGTTTGAAGTAGAGAACTTCACAGTTTCTTCCTCTGCTGCTTCTTGTCTTGATGGATCTGTCATCTAAATGCATTTAAATAACAAACATTACCCTGTCAAGGTGGGAGGGTATTTCTCTGGTTGTTGTCGAGTCAAATGTCTGAACTGTGATGGTTCAGTATGAATTCATGGACAATTACATCCCCATTGTATATACACAGCAGAGCTCGACTGATATGGACATTTTGGCCATCGCCGATACCGATATAGGGAGGGGAAGGCTGATAATCTATATATTGGCTGAAATTTTTTGAGCTTTGTCCACCCCCCAAGAATTCCTCTGTAAATTAAACAAATTAAATTTCCCTGTTCATTGTTTAAACAGTCCTGTATGGTGAAGCCTAATTAGCATTGACCGCAGCAGTTTTTATTTTATTTTTTGCTAAGAAGTAAAGATTTCAGACAAACGATGCGTTTCATTGAGGACGACAAAGACAACGTTACTTATCTACATGTTAGATTTGTTGTTCTGAATCAAGTTTTACAAGGCAATAGCCTATGCCAGGTTATCTAAACATTAACATGTTAACTTGAGAGGCATGTAGCTAATGACAATCAGGTTAGAGGATTGAAGAGAATTTATTGTTGCTTTTTAATTTTTATTTTACTCATCAGTTACAATAAACTTACTGTGCTCTGTTCAACAAAATACGCTATACAGTATTTCTGTTTTCGCTGTGTTGAGCCAAGTGTTCAGCGTGGCAATAGATTGAAAGTAGTCCGCATGCGCCCTCTGCTGGATACATTGTACAATTACACCATTTGCAAGTAAGGACGCAGACCGTTCCCAGCATTTTAGTGGTGAAAATTGAAAGTGTTTATAGGCCTGTCACAATAAATCAATTAATTGCATGAAAAAAGAAAATTATCTACCTCATTTATCAATTATGTCGTTTCTTGGTGTTTCTCTCTTGCTACTGAAGACACTGGATGACAAAAGGCTCGACTCTGGTGTTCTTCACTGACCCCTCCGTTTCTCTTTTCTCTTTTAAAATCTGTTTTAACCGTCCAAAATCGTGTTTTTTGATCGTTAAAAGCAGCTAAACTGAGAAGCTAAGCTACGAGCTATGCTAACAGGCCGACCTCGGGGAAAAATCCTCAGTCTTGTCGAAGTTACAAAATTCTCAGTTGAAACCCGTGCCTTCGTCTAAAAAGTTGTTTTTCTCTGGGGAAAAAAACCAACAACCCTGAGAACTTGGTTACTGATTTTTTAATTAAAAGCTTTGTGTGAAAAATGCTATGCTAAAGAGCTCAAACCACACCGAGCGTCCGCCATTTTGAGAACTGAAAAAAGGAGAGACAACCCATGTCACGTCAAGGGGCCTCCCTCCCATTTTTCTTAGAGACACGCTGCTCGCTCCCTCACTATCCATCCTTTGGTTCAAACAGTCTTATACTGCCATCCCGTGGTCCAAAAAAGGTTCTACACTCAAAACAAATTAACCAAAATTTTTTTCTTAAATTTGACAATAATTAAACAATATTATTGTTTATCACAATAATTTCTGAGACAGTTAATCGCCCAGCAAAATTTGTTATCGTGACAGGTCTAAGTCTTTATATTAATGAATAATGGGCCAATTATCACCGATACGATACGTCCCCAAATATCTATATTGATCTAAAATATCGGTTCTACTGATACATCGTTCGAGCTCTGATATATAGTATTATTGTAAGTTGATATATTTAGCGGTTAGCTGGTGTTTAATCTTTGTGGTTATAAAAATAGTAACTTTAAAGTGTTGCTGAAAGTCCTCATTTCCTCCAGGCTCTTAATTGTTAACGATGAACAGTCACCGTTTTCATTTTAAACAGCTATTGTTTGACACCACCTGACGAGCGTTGGAGCTCTGTGTGGATAAATGGTCAAATGATTACATTGAGAGGATTACTCTGAATGTTTTCCAGTATTCCCGAATCTCTTTAAAAAAAAAAAAGCAACAACTTGTTTCTCTCCTGCGAAGGTCACTATGATTACCACTACAGCTACAAGACCTACGATGGAAAAGACGGACCGTACGGCCAGAAATACAGCAACTCTGTCACCTACTACTACGACAACATGAGCAGCAACGATCTGTACTCCGTGGATCAGGACCTGCTGAAGGACTACATCAAGAGGCAGATGTAAGTTTAGTTCTTCTGTTAAAGGCAGGGTGTGCAGAACGGTGCTGTAGATGTGATGAGTTCTTCATGTCTCTTCTCTGAGTGACAATCAATGGAGAGAAGTTCCACACCTCTGATCACAGCGCTGAAGTGATGAAACCACGCTCGCTGATTCATGACGCGGGTTTTGTGGACTTGAACGGAAGGATCGGGTCTTGTTGGGACAGCAGTTTGTCTTTGAGTGCATGTACATGCGTGACAACATGAGAAAAAACTGTTAATTGAGGTTTTTTTTAAATCGGGTCCTAATATCACTTTGACTAATTCTGATGAGTCTAAACATATTTATCTGTATTTTTTTGTTTTTATTAATACATTATGCAGCAGGTAAAGCTGAAAATGATAAATCTCTGTACAAAAGTCTCCGTGGAAAAGTTTTTTCCTCCTCTGTTGATTTTCACCCACGTTACCTTGAAACTTGTTTTGCTCATCAGGTCTGTTAGTTTCTGGACCTTAAAGGGGCAGACGATAAAAAGGGTTGACCTCTTGTCCTGCGCGCGTGTGTGTGTATGTGTGTGTGTGTACAGTTTGACAAGAAAATAAACTCGGCAACAAATTTTAAATGTGCTCTGATCTGTTTCAGGACCTAGATTTGATCCATTAATCTTTCTTTACTGTTTTTGTTTGCCAAAAATACTTAAAGTGCATTTTCTGAAGTGTAGAAGGTTTTTTTTTTTTTTTTTTTGGTTAGAATTACTCTTTCTACATTAAACAAGATTTGTGTTGACCCCATGGCGTCCTGTTTCTCGCCTCCTGTAGAGAATACTACTTCAGCCTGGACAACTTGGAGCGGGACTTTTTCCTGAGGAGGAAGATGGATCAGGAGGGCTTCCTGCCCATCGGACTCATCGCCAGTTTCCACAGAGTTCAGGCTCTCACTACAGAAGTCAACCTAATTATAGAGGCAAGCAGACGTGTTGTCAGGGGCATGGGGAGCTGGTGTTTGTCTCCAGTAAGAGGTGAGGTCCACCGTGGACAGGTCACCTGTCCACCATGGGGACACGGAGACAACAAACCTTTTATACACACTCAGAATTTGGAATCACCAGTGAACCCAACGTGCAGGTTTTAGACACAACGCTTCTTTAAAAAGGGGAAATATGTCCAGGAAACTGAACACTTGACTTTTAATGTTGAAACAAAAAGTTTATTGAAAACACTTTTTTGTCTTTAAGTAATGAGTACAAATATTGATGTTTAGGTTGCCTACTGTAGCGTGACAAAAAAACATTTAAATTGTATCTTTAGGCAGTTTGTTTCTACAAGTTCAAATGCCATCAAAAGTTCAGTTTATCAGCTATAAAACAGTGTTTTTGCATCCAAAAATATATGAAAAGAATCGGAACAGCTAATTTTCATTCATCTTTCTGCAGTTGGTGTGTTTTTACCATCTTCGTTATCCTTGAACATGCGGCCTAACTGCCTTTCAGGCTTTGAAGGACAGCAAAGAGGTGGAGGTGATCGACATGAAGATCCGTCGGAAGCAGGACCCAGAGAAGTGGCCTCTTCCTGGTCTGATGATGCCCAACCACACGGACTTCTCCCAGCTCATCAACTGCCCCGAGTTCATCCCCAGACAACCGACTGATGAGCTTAAAGGTGAAGACGATCTCTTTTATGATCCTCCTGCATCCTTGTGTTTTGGTCCCAAACATCCCAGAAGAAACTGTCAAACCACAGAGTCAAGTCAAGTTTATTTATAAAGCACATTTTAAACAGCAGCTGTTACCAAAGTGCTTAACAATAAGCTAAACGATGTTAAACATCAGTGCATATTGGTGTGTTTTAGGAGAGATTTAAACACAGGGCGTGAAGTGGTCTGTCCACTGTTGAGGGGCAGATTGTTCCAGAGTTTAGGGCCCATGACTGGAAAAAGCCCAATCTCCTCTGAGCTTCAGCCTGGGTTTTGGTACAACCAAAAGCAGCTGGTCTGATGATCTCAGCGCCCGAGAAAGAACATATAGTTGAAGTAGCTTAGAGAGGTATGAGGGTGTAAGGCCATTAATACACTTAAATGTCAACAGGAGAATTTTAAAATCAATCCTGACACATACAGGGAGCCAGTGAATGGAGGACAAAACTGGTGAAATGTGCTCAAACCTACAAGTTCCTGTTAAAAGCTGAGCTGCAGCATTTTGGACGAGCTGAAGACGTGAAAGGGACACCTGACTGACCCCAACATAAAGCACGTTACAGTAGCCTAGTCAGGTTGTAACGAATGCATGGACTATTTTTTTCAAGGCCAGCTCTGACTTAAGCTTAGTTATCTGCCTTAACTGGAAGAAGGTTTTTTTTTGTAGAACAGAGTTAATCTATTTATTAAACTTAAAGTCAGAGTCTAAAACCATCCCAAGATTTTTAACAGACTGCTTAAGATAAAACTAAAAAGAGCTGAGGTTTATAGGATCAGCGACAGCGGTAGAGCTCGGGCTAAAAACAATGACTTCAGTTTTCTGATCATTAAAACTTAAAAAATTTTAAATCATCCATGCCTTGATGTTATAATGACATTTTAACAGAGGGCGAATGGAGCAAGAACTGGTTTTAAGGGCAGATAAATCTGACAGTCATCATAACAATAAAATGAAAGGCCGTATTTCCTCAGGATAGACCCCAAATGGAGCAGATAAAGTGAAAATAAAACGGGTCCAAGAATCGAGCCCTGTTGGACCCCACAGGAAAGAGGCACTTATGCAGATACACTATTTCCAATCTTAACACAGAAACTCCTGTCACTTTGGTACGAACAGAACCATTCTAATGCTGCACCCGTAATCCCAACCCAGTGTTCTAACCTTGATATAAGGATACTGTGGTCAACGGTGTCAAAAGCAACGATAAATAAGGTCCAGGAGTACAAGTATCGCAAACTGACCAGAATCATTTGCTAACAGAATGTCATTACAAACCCTAACTAAAGCTTTCCTGATGCATGCTCAGTAATCCAGGTAGAAAAATCTAAAAAAGTTAAGTCTGGTCCTCTGGACATCAGGCCAGGACTCTGCGGTCTACACTCATCTCCAGGCCAGCGGTCACTTGTTCAGGGATGAAGATGTTCACATCCTTGATAGAGAAGAACGATGGTTTGAGAGAGGAGTAAAGGAGGCCATCTTTGTGAAAAGAAATCGTCCATCATTAAACAGGGGTGGAGACCTCCGTGTTCAATTATCCCCCTCTTACAATGCTGTTCTTGCTAGTATCACTCAACCCCCTGTGAAAAGCAAGCAGGCATCAGGGTGCTAATGATCCATTGTTAGTCCGCCTTCATCATGTGAGCAGCTGGTTTTGGTTGTCAGCAGCAAACTGGTTGATCCACCATGAGACGGTGCTATTTAAGAGACTGAGCTGAATACAGCTCCTCAGACTGAAGAAGTCTTTCAGATGAAAGACGAGACTTTTCTACAATTTCAAAAACTCAAAAGCCGAGATCCAGTTTCACATGAGATCTTGTCTCTGGTGTTCTGTATCGGCTGCAGGCTCCTCCAGGTCCTCCAGCCCAATGCAACCACAGACCAAGACTGAACCAGACATCTCCAACCTCAAGACAATGCCCAAAGGCCTCTCTGCCAGTCTGCCTGATCTGGACTCAGAGTCCTGGATCGAGGTGAAGAAGAGACCCAGACCATCTCCGGCCAGACCCAAGGTTAGACCATCTGCATTCACGTCACATTATAATTTTCTTGTTTAGACCAGGATGTGCACTGTATTTAAAAATCTTCTCTGTTGACGGGGGGGGGGGGTGTGATAATTTGTTTAAAGTACCTAAAATATTTTCCTGCTGCGCTGCTTTGTGTCCAAGCTGTTTTTGTAGACGCAGTGAGTTTTCAGCATATCTGTCCATTTTAGCTGACTTTTAAAATCCCTGAAAACCAATGAAGATGTCATTCTTTAGCTGTTTTTTTTTTCATCTCTCCATCCACCCCGCCATCCCTTTGTTCTTGTGCTTGGTTGACTCATGTAGGCCCCTTCGTTGCAGCAACAAAAAGAAAAGGACGAGGCGCTTCGGTCTCCGATTGCTCCGCCCGGCTCCTCACCAACCCCTGCCGTCTCAGCAAATAAGGTCAGACAACACGGAAACTGGAAACCCAACATTTTAATTCATTAAAACACAAAACACTGTTTCAGATCTTAGAACTGACTCGTGATCTTTGAACAGATGCAGGTTTGAGTTTTAAAGTTTGTTCTTTTTTTCTGTTTAACTTAAATTTATATGGCCTGCCACTGAAAAGTGAAGGCAGACAATGCTTTGGCTCGTGTCTGTGTCCTGTTAGCAAAATATGTAGTCAATCAACAGCTGATTAACCTGTGAAGCCAGCCCAATATAAGATGGCGGCCACAGCCAACTGACCGTAAAAACACAAAACTTTAACTCGAATCAATCTTGATAGATTGTGGTTTGAAATCCAAAAAGTTTCTGATAATTTCATCTGGACTTTTTTTCTCTCTCCTCGATCAGGACGGAACCGAGCAAGACGAGCCGGAGGAGCTGGACTTCATGTTTGACGAAGAGATGGAGCAGATAGACGGACGCCGCAACACCTTCACTGACTGGTCGGACGAGGACACGGACGGCGAGCTCGACGACCACGACGTCAACAAGATCCTGATCTTGACGCAGACACCTCCTTACCTGAGGAAACACCCGGGGGGCGACCGCACGGGGCAGCACACGTCCCGCGCCAAGCTGACGAACGAGCTGGCCAAAGTGATCAACGACGGGCTCTTCTACTACGAGAAGGACCTGTGGGACGACAATTACGAGCCCGAGTACGCCACCATTAAGGTGAGGATGTCCGGTGTCGGGGTTAAAGAGCTACATTGTCAAGATGATAGATTTTCTGTTGTACTGTTCTTAAAAACAGGAAGGGGGCGTCTTTTTAATTATAGTTTCACCTCTCCGTAACTCGGGGGGTGTCAAACCCACTTATAAAAGTGGGCCAAAATTAAAACCTATTTCAAACTAGGGGCCGGTTTCATTAACTCAAGTTGCAGACCCAACATCTTTTCTTGTTTGCAGGTTCCTCAACAAGAGTTAGATGGGTCTCATTTGATGTTCTGTTACTTTTGCCATCATAACCTGGTTTAGTGTTTTTAAAGCCATTTTGTATTGTTTTATTTTGTTTTATTTTGTGTTTTTAATGTTGTGAAGTGTCCTTGGGTGTCTTGAAAGACTCTAACAAATAAAATGCATTATTATTATTATTATTATTATTATAATGAAAGATTACTGAAAAACATTCAAATGAAAAAAGAATTTTACATTTAAAATAACATCTTGGGGGGCCAGATAAGATGTCAACGAGGGCCTCATTTCGCCCCCGGGCCTTGAGTTTGACACATGCCGTAACTGTATAGTACTTTTTGTTGCTCCAAGCCATTCATTCAGTTGTGTACAAGAGGAGAAATCTTAACTTTTCTGCTCGTCAACCAAAGATGGTGTAGGTTTTACCCAGCAGACGATCCAGTCAGTGGTGGTCGTCCACCAGAGGAGTGACACTGGGCTCTTTTTTCCCAAGATAACACTATTTTAGAACAAACGTTTGCAACAAGGTACAAGTTGGCTTGTTAGCTAGTGACGATAGTCCCTCGATACTTCGTGGTTCGACTTTCGCAGACTCACTCTTTCACGGGTTTTCAGCATAAGATTGTACACGACCCACGATTGGCGATGGGGAATGACAAACCCCTCAACCTCCTTTCTCTTTCTGAGGCTGTCTCTGCTGTGACAGACTGCCTCAGAAAGAGAGAGGAGGAGACTGGGCCCGTCTTTCCCCATTGCTACTGCTTAGGGAACAAGGATGAACAGACCAGATGAATAAATGTAGAATATCAGAGAAAATGCTTAGGTAGAAAAATAAAAGTGAATTAAATTTAATTAAATTCAGTTTATGTATATAGCACCAAATCACAACAAAGTTGTCTCAGGGCACTTTACAGTAACATTCACATGCATAGAAAAGCCAATTAGTAAAGTTCTCTATCTAAGGAAGCCAGCAGACAATGTTGAAACTTTGCAGTTTCCCATCCTGAGCAAGCACAATGGCAACAGTGGAAAGGGAAAAACTAACTTCCGGATCATTTTAAAGAGAGAGAGAGAGAGAGAGAGAGAGAGGCTGAGCGTGGTTCACTCGGGTATAAGACAGACCTCGCCCACTCCTTTCTCTTTCTGAGGCCGACTGTCACAGCTGAGCAGAGACATACAACAGGTAGGTGCGCAACAGACAGCCTCGAAAAAAGAAAGGAGGGGGCGGGGTGTGTGTGTCTTCTACCTGAGTGAGCCGCACGAGTGGCATGGATTGTGCATTTTAAATAATTAAGCGCGACCGAACCGAGCCTTTCTCTCCTTCGACGTGCTCTTTTAGAGCGTTTAAAACATTGCAAGAGTGTGGGAACGGTTTATAAAGCCTTAAAATATATATAAATACTAAAATAAAGACAATGTCCCTAATTAGTGGATTTTCACCTATCACGGGGGTGTCTGGAACGTAACCCCTGCATTAAGTGAGGGACTACTGTACAACCTGCTGTCGACTCGCTAAGGAGGCTAATGACCATCAAATCAACAACACTTTACCAAAAGCAGAACGGCAGACGAACACAGTTACTTGAGAATAATAAATCAGTTGATCCGGTTCTCGTATGTAACATGGAGCTCGTAAGATAGGAAGCTTAAAACCTTTATTGCTCCTAAAGTACGGGACACGAAGGTTGGCCAAACCTCAACCAGTCTGTTAAAGGGAACCTTCAGCTGTTTGTGAACATCACAGATTTGTGTAGAGCTGCATACAGTCATTAAACCAGCTGCTCATAGTGAAAGCTGTCCATAATGTCGTCTACAATCTGTTTAAAAAAACACATTTAAACCTGTTTGCTGAGTTTTTGATGGTAAATTTATAAATTAATCTCAATACTTGTGATTATATAAAAAAAAATTGTCTTGATCCTAAATATTGCCATAAATATGTGTAAAGATTTATTGCAAAATAGTTTTTAAAAAGTCCTGAGTGTAGGAAAAGTCGGTGTCTTGGTCTGTGTCTCTTTATTTCTGTACATTAACATGAAAATAACTAACGTGTAACAATATATGTATTATTATTGTTTTATATCTGTAGTACAATCCATGTTAAACAATATGTGACATTACTGAGGCAGCAGAACAGAAATTACATTTCTGTTTTGACATAAAGGCAGAAAGTCGTGTTTTAATGCAGTGAAAGTGCTAATTCACCTCGAGGTATAAAACCATCAAAGCGTCACACGGCTGGTGAAACAAAACGGTCTCGTTCCCACACTTTCCGCGTTGAATTATTTGGGAGACGTTTCTGCTGGAAGCCGGAGGACGGGTACGTTTCTTCAACGGTTGGAGCTGTTTCTGGATGTGGAGGCGAAACGCCGAGCAGAATGCCGGTTTTGTTTGCTTTCATTTTCACTGTTGCCTCATTGTCGCTCTGTTGTGATACCTTCACGTGTTCACCGGCACACATCCAGCACCGCGTGGAACAAAGGGTGGGGGGAGGGGGTGTTGATAAAGAGACCTCACATCGCAAGGCCTCGGCCTGAAGGGTTGAGCGGACGGGCGGCAGGGGGGAGACCAAGATGAATCCTCAAGAGTCTGAAGACACTCGATGGAGTTTAAGGCAAAGCGTGAGTTGAATTTGATAAATACATTTAAAAAACGACGGTACCTACAGGAGCTGCTGATGCTTTAATGCTGTGGTTGTAGGTTTCTGAGCAGTGGAAGGTTCAGGGCGAGCGGTTCGTTTTAGAACACTGTAGGTTTCAGGTATGAAGGTGAAGAAAAAGTTGTTGGCAGTCGTGTTTTGCTGCTGCGTCTCCGTCTTCAAACTGCTGCAGATAAGGTTTGTGGATCCGTACGATATTCTTCTTTTATCATTAACACTTTACTTTTTGATCCAAACTGTATTTTTAGAGTTCCATTACTCTACTGGCTCCCTGTCTGATTCAGAACTGAATTCAACATCTTCTAACCTACAAAGCCCTCAACAACCTAGCTTCATCTTATATTACAGATCTTATTGTTCCATATTTTCCTAACAGAGCATTGGGCTCTCAGACTGCAGGCTTACTTGTGGTTCCTAGAGTTTCCAAAAGCAGAATGGCAGGAAGATTTTCATCAGGCTCCTCTCTTGTGGAACCAACATCCAGTTTATGTCCATGGGGCTGACGCATTGTCCAGTTTGTCCAGTTTTAAGACTGGGCTTAAGACTTTTTGATAAATTCTATAGTCAGGGTTGACTTGTTATGCTGCCATAGACTTGGACTACTGGAGGTCAAATTAACCTCATTTCCTTAAAAGAATTGTTAAAATTGAATAGTTTTCATTTGATAGTATTTCTATCTTAACATGTGATTTTTGACCTGCCATTGTGTATCTGTTCCTTCTTCCTGTTCCTCTCAAACCCAGCCGGTCAAAGCAGATGGTCGCTTGTCTTGAGTCTGGTTCTGCTAAAGGTTTCTTCCTCATGAGGGAGTTTTTTTTTCTACTGTCGCCTTCATGCTTGCTCAAAATGAGAGTTCTGTGATGGAGTTAAACTCAAAGCAGCCTGCTCCTCAGATAAATAATGTTATGATTTTTTTTATATATTTGAATGTTTCTGTTCAGTGCCCTGAGACGACTTCTGTTGTGACTTGGTGCTGTAGAAATACACTGAACTGAATTCAATTTTTTTTTTTCATTCAACCTTTATTTAGCCAATTCACATTGAGCCTAGAAGACTCATTTACAAGTGAGCTCTGTTTAGACAGACAAAAAGTAGTGAAACTGGACACATGTAGGAGGTGAAAAAATTCCTATCAGACTTTTTTTTTTCCTGCCTGAGAAGAAAAATTGATATTAAAAAACACCTCGCACAAAGAAGCACATATTGATGTAGACATTCTGCAGAGGGGAGACGATTAGATTGGTGAGCATGTCCATAGACGCTCTCGAGGGCACTGTAAGAGTTCTGATAAGGATGTAATCAGCCAGTGTCCTCCGGTGAGATTCGTAAACATTCTCGAGGTATGTCGAGGAATGGTCAAGAATAACGTCGGTATGAGAATCCAAGAGTCCTGAAATGATGACACAAAGTTTATTCAGCTGGTTTCTTTTGGTTATCAGTTGGAAATTCGTCAGGGAGTGGGGTGGTGAGCGTCAGATCACGTTTTCCAGGTGAATTCAGATAAGATGGCTTTCAAGGCCAGCTGGGGGAGCCAAATTCAGATAAACACACGGTTGTTTTGGGGACAGGCAGAACTTAATGACATTTACCTTGAGTCTGTGTTGGTCGACTCTGTTCCGAAATGTCCAAATTACATGGCCACACCGATGGATCGTGACGGAGTAAAATCCCCAAGATCTGATCCATTCTGCCCAAAACATTTGAGTCTGGGTACTCGAGGCACGAACCAAGACATCATAAAGGCAAACAGCTTGATCGGGACCAAATTTGCTGCCGACGACTTCCTTGATTGTTTATAAAACCAGCAACCATCCAAATCCAAAAAGCAGGAACCAGTTACCATAAATCCAATTAAATATGCATCCTTAAATTCCACAAATGGCAGCAGAGATAGACACATCATCAAGTCTTCCAAGTTGATGAGATATCCAGCTGTGTGCGTGCCAACAGGGCAATCTCGGCAAGAGCAAGTGGTGAAATGTGAATTTGGTGAATTTGTTTTTGTTCACACTGAAATTCTGCAACAACTTGTTTTTGTTCAAATTGGTACAACCGTGTTTCCTAAATGATCCTCAGAAAATAAACCGATTCGCCTGTCTTCCTTTTTTTTCACATCCTGTTTCTTCTTTTTACAGCAAGAGGTGGAGAACTTCAAGAAGGTCCACCTGATCAGCCGCGAACAGTTCGACTGTCTCACACCAGAACCCCCTGTTGACCCCAACCAGGAAGTCCCCCCAGGTCCCCCACGGCCCCAGCAGAGTAAGAACCCAAAACACGCACAATGTTAGTTGCTGCAGATGTGTATTTTATTTTTAAATATACATGAATGGGCTGCAGATGTGTATTTTATTTCGAAATATATGTGAATGTGCTGCAGATGTGTTATTTATAAGTATACATGAATGTGCAGCAAATCTGTATTTTACTTTGAAATGTACTTGAATGTGCAGCAGTTGTGTATTTTATTTTGAAATATGTGTGCAGTATGATTTGTAAAAACAAAGTTCATTTGATTCCTGAAGATCTTCTCAGGACACCAGACTGATCTAAACTCCTTAAATATGCTACAACTTGACTTTTTTGGTTTTGGACCTCGAAGTTTTTAATTCTAAGATGTAAATCCATGTTTGGTTAAATGTTTGTTTTTAACTCGGGCTCAGTTTGTTGCAGCTTCTCTCTTCATCGTCTCAGATGAATTATTTCTGCTTGGTTTTCTGCCCCGGCTTCAGTTCCTACTGATGCGTTGGCCAACAAGCTCTTCGGCGCCCCTGAACCTTCCTCCATAGCCCGCTCGCTCCCCACTACCGTGCCTGAGTCGCCGAACTACCGCAGTGCCCGAACGCCGCGCACGCCCCGCACCCCCCACCGGAAGGACCCGACCATGACGCCGCGCTTCTACCCCGTGGTGAAAGAGAGTCGACCTGTCGATGCCAAGGTAAGACGGCTGCAACGAGAGGAGAAAACCACTTTTATTCCTTGTAAACCATCTGCTTCTGAGCGTGTCGACCATTGACCTCAGTCATAAATACACAAATTATTTGAGTTTAAAGAAACCTCAGATGGAAAAATACATAAATTAATCTTGTCCTTTTTTAAAAATAATTTCAGACGCCCAGGAAGAGGAAGACTCGGCACAGCTCAAACCCACCCCTGGAGTGTCACGTCGGCTGGGTGATGGACTCCAGGGAGCACCGCTCTCGCACCGCCTCCGTCAGGTGAGACTCCGTCGCTGCAGACCTTCCCCTTTAATACACAACACTTTCCAGAGAGAGTTTTGATTGTACGCATCATGGTAGAGTCTCCGTCCCATGTCCGGGCCCAAACTTCTGATAAAGATCATTTAACAGAACTTCATACGAGTTTGTTGCACCACTTCACGGCATGTCCCACGATCTTTTCATCACTGCAGCTCGAAGGTCAAGGTCAGAGGTTATACAAGGTCTTTGCTTGTCCCGCCCATTGCTACAGGTTGCTGTTTGTCAACGGGGTTATAACGTGCTGTACGCTATGCTCTAGTTAAAGGGAAACGTATCAAAGTTTAATCTTTGTTGTAACAAGACAAAGTTTCTCTATTTCGATATTTGCAAAGAAAACCAGACATTCTTTGAATTGTTGTTAAAATAAAAGTTGTGTGTTAAAGACAGGTCTGTTGGTTAATGTGCATCCATTGAACCGTCAGTGAGGATTTTCTGCTGACACGGCTTTTTGTCAAGCCTCTTCATCTGTGGGAAGATGAAACTATTTAGAATATGTTAATCTGTCCAACTTTATGCTTTATTCCTTTATTTATAGCTAATATTTGAGGTTAAACCGTCAAATTATAAATATCAAAGACGATTTTAAAATCTCTATCTTTTATTATGATTCAGAATGTTGGTTTTAGTTTAACGTTAAAGGTTCATTACTGGCCAGACAGATGTTCCTCGTCTCATCACACTTCTTATTCATCAAAGTTTGAGCTCTGAATGTGCACGGACTGAGATCAGTTTTATTGTTTTTGAACGCATAAAGAACTCGCCTGCACAGACAGATGTTACACAAAGAAACATCTGCAGCGTTTTTCAGCTGGAGTTGAAGCTTCAGCTTTTTTGCATGGTTGCAGCGTTTTCAGCCTCTTCCTCCACCTGTTTTCCTCTCAGCTCCAACGCCAGCCCGTCAGAAGGCACCCCCGCCCTGAGCAACATCGGCTGCACGCCTCAGTCCCTCCCCAAGTTCCAGCACCCGTCACACGAGCTGCTGAAGGAGAACGGCTTCACGCAACACGTTTACCACAAGTACCGCCGGCGCTGCCTCAACGGTATGCTTCCTTTTTCTCACTAAATAAATCTGTTTCAGAAAATCTGTGCCGGGCCCCCCCCCCCCCCCCCCTTCAATTTTTATTTTAAATCACCGAGTGTAAGAAAGCAGATGTCTCTTGTCTCCACAGAGAGGAAGCGATTGGGGATCGGACAGTCGCAGGAGATGAACACTCTCTTCCGGTTCTGGTCGTTTTTCCTGCGGGATCACTTCAACAGAAAGATGTATGAGGAGTTCAGACAGCTGGTGGTGGAGGACGGGAAAGAAGGTTACAGGTGAGGGTGGAGGTGGGGGGTGGCTTCTTCCCAACTGCAGCCTTTTATTGTCGTGGTGTTTAGTTTTCATGTGAGCACAGGTCGGTTCAAACACAACCCGATGATGAAGATCCAGATTTGAAATGTTTCAGCCTCACCTGATCTGCTCGTCACAGCAGGCACCTCGGACATGTTCGCTTCTCTCTAAAAATCACGAGTTGTTGTCGCCTGTTGAAACTCATCTCCAACTCTTTATAATTTAAGGGTCAGAAAGTGGGCCTGTAAAACCAAGGTGTGACTGATTGGAGACCAAAAAAAGAGAAAAAATTGCAAACAAACCGAGACATAATTAAGACGCTTTGTAACTACAGTAGTCCCTAGATCTTCTCTGTTCAACTCTTTCGTGGGTTTTCAACATAAGATTGTACACAACACAGGATTGCTGATGCGGAAAGACAGACCTCACCCCCCACCCCCTCCTTTCTCTTTCTGAGGCTGTCACACTCAGAAAGAGAAAGGAGGGGGTGGGGTCTGTCTTTCCCCAATGCTACAGTTCAGTCCGTGGGAGCTGATACCTGAGTGAGCGGCATGGATTGTTTATTTAAAATAATCCAACTCGAACCGAGACTTTGGTCCAGCCCCTTGGCAATCACTGAGCGGGCCAGGCCACCGGGAAATGTCCCAGTGCTCCCAATAGCCAGTCCGCCCCCGGTGACGTGCCAAAAATCAATTGGCGCCGCAGGAGCTTTTTTGACCATTAAAGCGCATTTATTAAGGAAAAAGTAAATCTTTGCTATAATGTCGAGCAAACAAATAATTGTTTTTAGGTGTTAAACTTGTTAAATTTCAAAGAACTGAAACGGAGAGCCTTCTCGTGCGCGCTCTCACGGCGCCAGTCGTTTGTAGGCAGACCATCACTTCACTTTTTGGCACGACACGGGCATTGGCTCAGTAACCGTAGCATCAGTCTGCTCTTTCACTGTGCTCTTTTGGAGCATTTGGAGAGTTTAGAACATTGCAAGAGTGTGGGAAGTGTTTAAAAAACCTTCAAATATATCACAACTAAAATAAATGTAACGTCCCTACGTCACGGATTTTCACCTATCGCGGAGGTGTCTGGAACCCCCGCGTTACGTCAGGGACTACCGTATTTTTCTGACTATAAGGTACTTAAAATCCTTGAATTGTCTCAAAATCGACTGTTATGTATTAACTCTGGTTGTGATTACTGACCTCAAACTGACTTTCTGTCGGCGCTCAAAAATCAGTCAAAATGAACTTATTTCACTTAATGCGCCTCATGAATGAAAACGGACCCGTTCATTGACATTACGCCTTACAGTCCGAAAAATACGGTACTGTAAATTGCAACAAATAAATTTGCGCCTCATTTACTTGAATGTCTTTGAAATGTCCCAATTTATCTGCAGTTCCAACATGTGGTCGTTATAGTGATTCCAAGTGTGAATCAGTTTTTATTGTTTTGCAGTTTCGTGTCTCAAACTAGTGAGAGACGAACGTGAGAAACTGATTGATCAGAATCTGAAGTTTCATCTGATGAGTTCCGTGGATTAAATCCTAATATGAACGAGTCGGTGTGAACTGAGTGTTTTCTTGTGTCAACTGCTTCTGCGTGCTCCAGGTACGGTTTGGAGTGCTTGTTCAGGTACTACAGCTACGGTCTGGAGAAGAAGTTCAGGCCCGACATCTTTAAGGACTTCCAGGAGGAAACTATGAAAGACTACGAAGCCGGTGAGGAAACACGAAGCCTAAGGGGACGAATCACTTTTTAATTTATTTGGACACGGGAAACATTTGATCGGTTTTACTGCAGGTCGATCACATTAAAATAAAAATCTGTGAACTTCTGTTTTGTTTGCCGATCTCAGGTCAGCTTTATGGACTGGAGAAGTTCTGGGCTTTCCTCAAGTACTCCAAAGCCAAAACTATGGAGATCGACCCGAAGCTGCAGGAGTACCTGAGCAAGTTTAAACGCCTGGAAGATTTCAGGATTGATGTAAGTAGTTGAAACCAAAATGGTCTCAGTATTAAATTGAATGACCGTTAAAGGGACTGCTTGCAACGTCTGAAATCAAACGTGAAACGAGTTCATCTGAACGATCAGATGCAGGTCCACATTCTGCTTCAACAAAGCAGCGTGATCAGCCGAACTACTTTAGGCTTTGCAACGAGTTCCTTTAATACGGGAACGTTTGTTCTTTGAGAAGTTTTTTCAGTTTTTACACGACTAGTTTTAAAAGACGAGTTTAATCTGAACGTTTCTGTTTCCAGCCGCCGATGGAGGACGGGAGCCGCAAAAGACACCCGTCCAGTGGGGACGGCCGGCGCCGGCACCCATCGCTGCCCTCCAGCCGGCCTCACAGCCAGGCGAGCGGGGGCCCCGCCCCTGCCGGCGCTCAGGGCCACACAGTCAAGGATGTTGCCAAACCCACCAACCAGAAAGGCCCCGCCCCCAAGAATGAATCTGCACCGGACACCAAAACACTGAAGTAACTCCCGACACGAGCACACCGGCCCGTATGGATCCACCCGCCCCCCTTTTGGGTGGTGGTGCGGACCGCGGGGGGGGGGGGGGGGGGGGGGGGGGGGGGGGGGAGATGGGTGGTGCCTCCAGCACTTCATTCAGTCTTTGATCTGATTAAAGATAAAAAAATCCACCAATTATTGTTTTTACCAAATTACCAGTTTTTGTTTTAAAACTTTTAGCCAAGAAACCTGAGCCCTGACCAGTCGACCCCCCCAATCACTGGGATTCTCCTACTTGCTCAACCCTCACCCCCACCTCCCTTTACTCCTCACTCAGATGAGTTTTTGAGCACGAGGTGGTCGATCCAGACGGAGCACCTCCCCACTGACAGCCTGCAGGCGGCTGCGCTGCTCCTCGCGGTCAGCTGGACCAAAGTAGGTTGAACCATCTGCCCCCCCACCCCCCATCCCCACCCCCTAGCACTCTCAGTAAAGGGGTGGGGCCAGGATCTGAAAATAATTGATTTGCTTTATGGCTGAACTCCGAGGGGAAACTAAAACAACCAAAAGATAAAAACAGACTTGAGCCCCTCGCGCCAGACTAATGATTGAAAGTTGCCTTATTTTGATGCTTTTACTGCTTCCAACTTGTGCCCACCCCCCCTCGTTGATTGTGCAGCATCGGAGTCGACGTTTATCTCGTCGCTGTTTCCAGAGGAGGCCACCAGGTGGCGCTCAGATTGTCCTCCACCCCCTCGTCTCTGTGACCCGTCTTCCAGGTGTTATTTGTTCTGGTATGAACTGTGTGATTCTGCTCGCAACTCGTGGCTTTTTTTAATGTGCGCTAAAAGCTGATGGGAGTTCGTCACCCGTCCCTCCCCCTCAAACAAAAAGAAAAACAAAAAAGTGGAAGTGAGCGTTCAACACCGCCTCCTTCTGGGTGCTTCACCTCCCGCCTTTCTGTCCGATGTGCTGCATCCATGCGTTCATCCATCCATCCATCCGTTCGGCGACGCTGCAGGGCCGGACCCTTCGATCTGGATTACTTGAAGAGGGGGGGGCCGCGGGGAGGACCGACGCGCTAAAGGAGGCTCCGGTTCTCGATGCCGACTGGACCTCGCCGCTTCCTGTATGGGCTACAGGCGCGAACACTACGTCATGTGCAGCGTGAGCCTCGCCGTGGACACAAACTCCGTATCGTTTGTTCGCTCGGATGATAAAATCAACTCGAGGACTAGTGATATCAGAACCTTTCCACTAATGTAAATGTGAATTCGACCGATGAAGAGAAAAGACGTCAGCGCTCTGTGTTTTTGTTTATAGGACACGTTCTATTTTTTGCCTTACATCTGTACTTTAACTTTATTTTTTAATCTTTTAATGCGTTTAAATTTTAATTTGCTGTGTTTCTCGTGCTGTTACGATGGAGGTGCATGAAATCCTACAGTGGAGGAAAAAAAAAAACCGATCCGTTATAGCACATTGCAGTGTTCGTTTTTCTCTTTATTTTTGCTGCAGTTCAGTGAAACCGGGCAAATTTAGACTAAACTGTGCCTGTTTTTTTTTTCTTCTTTCTTTTAAACGTCTCGGTCGTTTGCTGTAGTGATGATTCAACCTGTCACTTCTAAAGGTGCGTTGTCCTGTCAGTGTTTTCCAGTTTTTGCAATTCAGCCTTGTTGGACTTAAAAATGCAAACTGAAGCTGTACCCCCCACCCCCTGTTCCCAGTTCATTATTCGGGAGGTTTGATCAGTTTCTGATGCAAAGTAGATCGAAACGTCAGAGCTCCAGACCACCTTTATTTTGCTTCCTCTCAAAACAGTGAAGCCTTTGAGTAAGAGATCCCCCCCCCCCCCCCCCCCATACGCTTTCTGACTCTCCCTTTAATGTGATCACCTGTTTGTGAGCAATTGACGGGACTCAAGTTATACGGGAGTTTACGGCATCGAACTGCTGCTACCCGCCTGTTTGGCCTCCAGGGGCGCTGCCATCAGTTTTACAGGATGGAAGAGTCGGAGATGGAGCCCGACTGGAGACAGAAGAATATGGCTGCTTATGATGTCTGAAGACTTGGAGACAAATTTCCATAAAGCCATATGAATAAGAAACGACTGTATGAACCATTCAGATAGTTCATTACATTATCCTAGGCTTGTCATGAGAAAAAAAGTTGAAAACAAGGATAAAAGGAACAAAAAAAAATTATAAAATGGAAAAATGTAAAATACTTGAACGAGATCTTGTATCATAACATTTAATATTCATAATATCTGCTTTATAGGCTGATGTGATTCGCTATTATAGTGTTATTTGTAATTTCTAGTAATTATGCTTATACTTTAATAAAGAAAAAAAAAATCACAAAACTGACAAAAAAAACCCTTGAACACCTGCTGCTGTGTGATTATTTTCAAATGTTTTAAATATTTTTTGCTCTACCTGTAAAATTCTCTGCCATTTTTAGGTTGTTTATAAATTAGTTTGTTTGAATTGATCCCTGGTTCTTAAGCTGTTCGACAAACACAGTGGTCCCAACCCTGGTCCCTGAGGGACACCATCCTGCATGCTTTAGTTCCGCTGCTCCAACGCACCTGATTTGAATGAAAGGATGATTAACAGGCTTCTGTCAAACTTTAAGGAAGTAATTAAAGCACCGAATCAGGTGTGTTGGAGCAGAGAAACGACAAACATGCAGGATGGTGTTCCTCAAGGACCAGTGTTGGGAACCACTGAGCTAACGGACACAGGACATGATCACTTCTTTCATCACAGCAGGTAATAAATATTAGTCGTCTCAGAACATTTTTTACATTTTTATTTATTACAGACGAGTTTTATAATTTCAACAAATTATAATTCACACACAAAACCATGTTTAAGTGACAAAAACGGAATCGTTCTGCAGGATTTTCTGCAGTCTGAGCTACAAGTGCATGCATCACAGCTGGTGGAGTTAAAGTGCTGATGGGAAACGGAACTAAAATCATTACGCTGGAATATTTTCCTTTATCTTACATTTCCAGCACCACACATTTGTGGAATCTGGGATATACAGATAAATACTGTCAAATCACAACTAAAGTGGTAATTTTACTGAAATGGTTTACAAATTGTGGATAGCTTTATGCAGCCATAGTCGCAACAAAACTGAGGGGGATTTACTGTAAATTCTAGTATTTTGGATGAAATATTTATAATTAGAATTTCCTTAAAACTGAACAGAAGTTTTGTGTTTTAAGACAGAAAGTAAAGAATCACTTCAGCAGCTGAAAACCGCTTCTTCTGCAGTATTGGCACTGGCAGCAATGCAAGTACAGCCCAGTACTTGCGTACCTGGTACATATGAGACCGGACTGTATTATGAAGTGACTGGTTACTGTGTACATTAGTACAAACTAGGTCTGTACCCGCTACGCATCTTGCAGTTTGTACCCTACAAGTACAGGATAACAAGTCCCTTCATAATACAGTATGTGCCTGGTATGCGCTAGGTAAGTACTAAATACATAGTCAAGTACAGTATTTACTCAGTATGTTCTTGCTACATAGTAGGCAAGTACCATATAAATCGTTCAGCCCAGTACGCATCTAGTAAATACTAAGTACCAAATGCATAGTACAGACCAGTAATTACAGAGTATGTACATACAGTTCTGTACTTGCTCAGTATGTAGATGTACAATATGGTGGTATGTACTGATTATGTGCTGCTACCAAAGGTTTTTGTAAGCCATGAATTTATAATTGCACAAAAATCAAAATTTTACCCCTTTAAAAAAGCAGCATATTATGATGGATCCAAACTTGTTCCCTTTTTCCTCGTAGATTTGGGCTTCGTTAAATATTTGAAGTGGACGTCGCTAAAACATAACCCTGAACCTCAGACGGCGCCGCTGCGTCCCAATAATCACCGCAGGACGTTTTTATAACCAGCTGAACACCAAACTATACATCACTTGTAAATGTGAGATGTGAAAGTTCAGGGGTCGAAGGTCATCACTGGCACTTCTTGGGCGAGTCAGGGATGCTCTGGGTGAGAGGGGTGAGGCTGGTGAGCAGGGTGTGCCGTTCGTACTGCTTGGTCTGTCTGAACTTGGAGTCGGTGCCGTGGAGCCGGTCCAGCACACCGAAAACCCCGAAGCACTGGGTGAACCTGGAACAGGAGAGTCACCAAGAGAAACTCTTAACAAAACGTTGTCCACATATACACGACTGAGTACACATTTACCTCCCGCTAAAGGACGTCACATGGTTTCAAGCAGTGGAGTTGGGAGACGCAGTGAGAAGAGCTACAGAAATCTTTATGACTTTAAAATAATTATTTGTTAATAATAGTGTGAATGCTTATTAAGCATCCTTTATAAATGTATTATTCCATATTCTTCTTCCAGTTATCTTAAACTATTTTGTACGTTTTTCTATATTGCTCTCGTTCCACAATTTTTCTGCTATCTCAACAAATTATAAATCAAAATGTTCAGCTCTTTCAGAATAATCCAGCTGTGACTTTTGGTATTGGTGTATTTGTTTTTTTTTCCCAGCTAATTTCAGCTGTTTTGTGCTCCTTTCAGATTCTTTCTGCTAATTTCAGCTTATGCTCCTTTTAGCATATTTATGCACATTTCAGCCATTTCTGCTATTTCAACTAGCTGCTTTATGCTAATTTTAGATTTTTCAGCTAATTCCACTTTTTTTTTTTTGCACTCATTTAGACTTTTTTCCACCTAATTAAGCAACAAAAAAAAAATCATTTCCTTCTGATAATTTAAGCTCCTGATTTTTTAGCTATAATTCAGCTGTTTTTTTTTTTTTGTGTGTGTTTTAATTTTAGCCCCCCCCCCCCCCCCCCAGATGATGGCTACTTCTTTGTGCTCATTTCTGTCTCTTTAAGCCTAATTGGGCAAACATGTTCTTTCTGCTTTCTTCTGCTAATTTAAGCTTGTTCTACCCTTTCAGCTAGCATTTTCAGCTAATTTCAGCCGTTTTCAGATTAATTCACGTTATTTGTGCTGAACTTTCAGCTTAAATTATTTCTGCTAATTTCAGCTTGTTGCGCTCTTTTCAGCTTATTTCTGCTAGTTTGTTATTTCAGCTACTGTTTATGTTTTTTGCTAATTTTAGCTTTTTCAGCTAATTCCAGATTTTTTTGCAATCATTTCAACCTTTTTCAGTCTAATTCAACAAAAATATGCTCTCTCCACTTTATTCTGGTAACTTAAGCTTTTTTTTTTCGTTTCCGCTTGTTGTTAAATTTAGCTTTTTTATTTTTTTTGTTAAATTTCCTAATTTTTGTGCTAATTTCTGCTTATTTAAACCCAATTCAGAAAATATGTGGAGTTTCTGCTTTCTTCTGCTAATTTAGGCTTGTTCTTCCATTTCAGCTACATTTCAGAATGCTTGTTTAGCTAATTTCAGCATGTTTTTCTGCAATAAGCATTCACACTGCATTTTTGCAGGAAATGCAATTTCTCTTAGTTACTTCAGCCGTTTCAAATGGATCACAGTGCTTATAAATCAATATAATGGTTGACAGGACTCTGTTCGGAACTTATCGATGTTTATTTGACTTCATTGAGCAAGTATCTCAAATCTTATCTTTAAAAGCTTAAAAGTGGCATTTGTGTGTCTAAAATCACTTCAAGCCAAAAAAGGATCATAAACCAGTTATTTATAGCATTTTGTCTCTTTAAACTTTATACTTTTTTTAAAGTGTTGAGTTTCTTTTAGTTATTTATTTTCTATAACATTTATTAAGTTTTCTGTTGGAAAAATATTACCCAATTGTTGAAAGCTGAAGTTAAAAAGGTAGACCAATTTAATCTATTTATTTCATTTAATTTATTTTGACAAACTTTCAGTTGATCGTTTTAGAAGTAAATTTGGACAGAATAAAATAAATAAATCTTTCGGTGGATAAGACTCACCTGAGGTGGTGGAAGTCATGAAACTCGGGGGACGGCAGGAAGGGGAGGTGGTAGCCGCAGTGGGAGATGGTGGTGCTGACCAGAGCCAGGCAGTACCACATGGAGGTGGTGGTGATGTGGGAGCCCAGAATCACCGGCCCCGCGACCACTGGCATTAAGTTGGAGATCTGACAGCAGAGAGAGAGCGAAGAGGCTGAAAATACGCAACGAATAGAAACAACCAGCAGGATTTTTAACGTTCAACTGTGAAAATAATTGCTACGTCGCTTCTGACTGTGATCCCGATTCCACCGGATTGTTGCCTCAACGAAGCACCTCATGATCCGGTAGTTTACAGCTGTATCTGCATTCACATTCTCTCACCGTTTACAGCTTCTGTACAAGTTTTACAATCAAACTACCTCAACATTTCGCCTTCGGTCCGGAAGGCGTCATCAGTCAAGGAAACACAACAAAACTGATTCTTCCCCCCAACAGCTTACTCCAAAGTGGAACAAACCAGTTCTGCTTGTTATAAGATGGTCTCTTTGGTACGCCCCCTCCTCCATTGCCGGCCCTCTTATAACAAGCAGAACTGGTTCGTTCCACTTTGGAGTAAGCTTCTGGGGGAAGAATCAGTTTTGTTGCGTTTCCTTGACTGATGAAGCCTTCCGGACCGAAGGCGAAACGTTTCAGCAAAAAAAAAAAAAAACTGTCCAGATGACCTGACTGAAAAATGTTGGATTGTATACCTGGATTATTGAGTATGGACTTTGTTGTTACCTCAACGTACTTTGTGCAGTTTTCATCATATATCAAAATGAACAAATTGAGTTGACTTTTAGTTTTCTACTTTTTAAATTAGGTTGTATTTCATTTCATTTACAAAACTGTTCCCAACAGAAACACACCAAGGTCTTGTTTCCTTCAAAAAGTTCATAATCTAAAATCTACTTCAGTAAATTTCCTCTACGTTTGTCTTCTTACACCTTCTTCATCGTTTAGCTACTGCCTTGCTAGTTTTAGCTTTTAGCTGAGGTTTTGCAGCATTTAGATATTTTATTTATTTACCTTTTATTTATACAGATAGTCTCATTGAGCCACGAGAACTCATTTTCAAGAGAGACCTGTTTAGGCAGATGATGGGGGTTAAGGGCCTTGCTCAGGGACCCAGAGTGGGGCGAATGAGGGTGGAGGCAGGTGTGGGTGTTCCACCTTTTCCACCCACATTTTTTATGTCAGTCCGGGGAGTTGAACCTTTGACTTTCCGATCACATGCCCATCTTCTCTAACCTCTGTGCCACCACTCCCAAACATTAGCAATAGTTTTTCTTGTTTCTTTTAACTACTGTGTTTTATTGGTTGCATCAGCTTTGCTAAATTTAGCTTTCGGTTAACAGTTTTATATTTGTCTCTTATTAATAGTTTTGCTAACTGTAGCTTTTAGCTACAGTTCTGCTTATTTTGGCTATAGTTTTGTTGATTTAGCCTTTAGCTACGGCTGTGCTCAGTTCAGCTTATAGCCACAGATCTGCTTGTTTTAGCTGTTGCAAATTATAGCTTTTAGTTATTGTTTAGCTGATTTTTTTCTGCAGAAAAGGCTCTTTTCCAAGTTACTTATTTCCATATTTAGGCAGAATAAATGTGCAGGTGTTTTTTAACCCTCCTGCTGCCCTTGGGTCAAAATGACCCACAAGGCCTTTAGTTTAGAAACTGAGGCCTTGTAGGGCATTTTGACCCAAGGGCAGCAGGAGGGTTGACACGATGACCTGAATTTCAGATTGAAGATCAATACGGTTACCTAAAAGAAGGGTTTGAATTAGGAACGCACCAGTTGCTCAGCAGATTGTTGGTTTTAGCTGATTTGGGGTTTGTTCAGTAACTGGCAGTTGAAAAACCTTTTGCTTTTTCTTTTAAACTAATTGGGAATGACTTGAAGTTGGTAAGCATTTTTTATAATCAACTAAAAACAGTCTGAACCTACGCTTGGGTTCCAGTGCAGTTTAAATCAAGAGATGACAAAGATGGTCAAAAAAGTGGGAGGAGCTTATATACCACGTGCTCCAGAGGATGAGCGTAGATGCAGACGATGCCGACGGGAGCGGTCCACTCATGGTGCTGTTTGTGATAGTGCTTGTAGAGGCTGGGATGGTGAAACAACCTACCAAAGGATAAAAACACTTGAAACCTCTGCCATCTAAAGGAAGTAGTCTGTGTGTATGAAATGAACGCTTCCTGCCTGTGTGAGTAGTAAAACATGATCTCCTCCACCATGGAGAAGACAGCCAGCTCCATCAGGGCCCAGTGGAAGGTGGGCAGCTCAGGGCCACAGGCGCCTCCTCTCCATGACATCAGGTGGTAAACGACCACCACCATGGGCCCCGAGATGAAGAAATGGTTGAAGAGGACAGTCTTCACCGCCTGGCGGAGCTTTGTAGGATCAACCTGCAGGACCAAAACTTTGTATAACTGCAGAAAATATACAACTAATTGCATTTTTTTTTTATTAATTTAACATCATCTTAGTTTAATAAAAGTAAAAGTTGTCATTTTAGGTTAAACCCATGGACTCTGGTTATAAACGTGGTATGACCTGACCTCTGTTTGCGTGAGACCAAAGTATGTTCTGGAGTTGACACGGATGAACTTTTGTACCAAGCAGGACGGTTTATTGTGCAAAGGTACATCAGACCGGTTTTTATCAAGAAGTGTAAAGGGGCGGAGTTTTGCGACTCCATGCAGGTAAGGTTTGAATCATAAATCCTAATTTCACAAATGAAGTAGAGTTAGCTTCTGTGGATCAAAGGTCAAATAAAATGTTGATTTGTGCCACTTTGGATTCACCTTCAATTTAAAGCTTTAGAACTTTGAGATGCAACACAATACAGAAGCAAATTAAACATGACCGAAATATTAAATTGGTCAAAACGCATCACTTTATGATCGCCCGCCTCCGACAAGGTGAATGTGGAGATAATCTGGCATGAATGTCCGCAGTAAAATGCATTCCTTCAAGGAATGCTAGATCTTTGGATCAAAGTGAAAAGCGGTGAGTTGCTCCATTTAGGTGAGCTGAACTCACAGGCAAATCACTCACTTTCTCTTCATCCTGGGGTTCCTCAGGGTCTTTGTTAGGGTCCATGTGAGATAATGTTTTGGGCTCATGCATGGTGTGAAAATGTAAAGTAAAATGTGACAAAGGTTTTCAATAAAGGAAGGTCGCCAATTACAGCAAAACATTTTAGTGTCTGTTATTTGAAATTTGGCTAACAAATAGCTTCCAGATAAATCTATCTCCAATATTAGTTTATTATTTTACTAAAAAAAATTCCAGTCCTGTGTTTATAAAATGTTCTGTTTAAACTTAAAAGTGAGCACGCTTGTCTCAAAGCTGAGAAAGAAGACCGTGATCTGACCACGGCACAATAACTACATCAGCGCTCTGACAGGAGGAGCCTGAGCATTTACAAGTTCAACTTCAGACGGTGCCTTTTAGCAGCGTTGCTGCAGTTGGACATCCTGAAAGTGGAAAACAGGAAGCCCGACCTGAAGTCTTAGCTCATTTTATTTTTCTCCTCGAAAGCAAAAACAGTTTGGATCGATTTGGGTTAATGAATGACTAACATGAACTGCTAACCTTTGTCGTTTCTTACAGGTTAATTTAGTTCATTCGTTGTTCTGGCCCATAAAAACAACAGCAAGTCAAATCAAATTTATATATAAATCACATTTAAAAGCGTAATAATAAAAATCAATGGCAGTAATTTAAAGAAAAAAAATTAATAACAAAAACTAAAAGCATCAAAAGAAAAACGAAACAAAACTCTAAATCAAATCACACTGCGTTACATGACTTCTGCTGTGAATTGGCGCTATATAAATCAACTGAACTGAATTGTTAAAAGCCCGTGAAAACAGGTGTGTTTTTAAAAAGAGATTTATAAACAAGAAGTGAAGTGACCTGTCTAAAGTGGGAGGGGAGATTGTTCCAAAGTTTGGGGCCTCCGACTGAAAGAGCCCGATCTCCTCTGAGCTTCAATCTAGTTTTTGGTACAACCTGATCAGATGATCTCAGCGCACGAGAAGGAACATATAATTGAAGTAGCTCAGAGAGATAAGAGTGTGCAAGGCCATTTAGACACTTAAAGGTCAACAGGAGAAATTTAAACTCTATTCTGATACGTACAGGGAGCCAGTGAAGGGAGGACAAAACTGGTGTAATATGCTCAAACCTACAAGTTCCTGTTAAAAGCCGAGCTGCAGCATTTTGGACGAGCTCAAGATGTGAAAGGGACACCTGACTGACCCCAACATAAAGCACGTTACAGTAACCTAGCCAAGTTGTAACGAATGCATGGACTATGTTTTCAAGGTCAGATCTGGTCAACACACTGACTTGAGCTTAGTTATCTGCCTTAACTGGAAGAAGCTTTTTTTGTAGAACAGAGTTAATCATAAACTTAAAGTCAGAGTCTAAAACCATCCTGAGATTTGCAACAGACTGCTTAAGACATTGCTCAAGACAGTCAAGGTTAACAAGATCAGAGACAGCAGTAGAGCTAGAGATAAACACAATAACTTCAGTTTAATGATCGTTAAAACGTGAAAAATTTGAAGCCATCCATGCCTTGATGTCATCAAGACATTTTAACAGAGGGTGAATGGAGCAAGAACTATTGGGTATAAGGGCAGATAAATCTGACAATCATCAGCATAGCAGTGAAAAGAAAGACCATGTTTCCTCAGGACAGACCCAAAAGGGAGCAGATACACTGACAACAGAAGGTGTCCAAGAATCGAGCCCTGCGGGACTCAGCAGGAAAGATGCACTGAAGCAGATAATATATTACCAACATTAACATAAAAGCTCCTGTCAGTAGCAGAAGAAGCTTCTGACCTCAGCCGTTAAACAAGCTCTGCTAAAAACCAAAACATGATGATACAAACAACCATATCAACCATAAATACTAATTTCACTCATTTATGACGAATGTTGCAATTTGCTGCAATTATTGTGAAAATATGACAATAAGTTTTATTTTATTTTAATGTGACTTAGAGATCATCCAAAGACCCTCATCACTTTGTATTTCGTTGGTGTGTTGTCTCGACCACCAACTTTGAGAGCCGCTATCTATTCAGTCTGATGTTCTGTAATAATTATCCTGGGACAGATGGTGGCATTTATTTATTTTATTTCAGTAAAATAACTCGTCTCGGTGGTTTATGTGAATAAATGTGTAACTCAATACATATCAAATTAGAATATTTTTAAAAGCTCACTAAAAGGAGAAAGACAATGGTTTTGTATGCGTTTGTTAGCAAAATATCTGGTAAATTTGTCAAGACTTTAATAAAACTTGCAGAAAGTAATCACTGGGTGCACATTTGGAGACAATCTAATTCAAGATGGATGCCACAGCCAGTCGATATTATTATATTAACACAAGGCATGAGACTGCACTTAATCAATGTTATTTTCAAGGTTTGACCAAAACCGTTTTAACTCCGTCATTTCTCAACATAAGATCATCTTAGTCTAAAACTCTTACACGAAAGTTGGCGGGTGATAAGCATTCCTTCGAGGATTAAAGGCCTTGAATATTACATTGTGCAATTACAACACTCAGCTAAATGTTCTGTTAGTCCAAAGATCAAGTCCTGACTCTGTGCCTGGAGGAAACAATTTGTTTTAGGACACGTTTCGCTGCTTCTAATCTGATGTCTGGATACATTTTTTAAAGCATTTCTTGAGAAAAACATTTCACCGCGATACAGTTTTGAATCATTTCACAGATTTAGTTGAAGCTGAACACTCTTGCATCTTATTTAAGTTTAGAGAAATTTTTATTCACTAAAGTAAAACGACAGTTGTGAATAATAGCTCACTTGGATTCAATGAGCCATTTGATACAAAGCAAAAATCAAACTTTATCAGAACCATAAGAAGAAGTTCTCGGTCTTTAGGCGAGCACAAACATTACAAACCGTAGAATAACCGGATCCCCTCAGTGTGTGTCTGTCGGTTAATCAGGAACGTGACTTCTTTTTTTAGGACACACATACCGCTTCATCAAACACGCAAGCAGGTGACTTTTTTCAGCTTCAGCAGATCGATATCAGGTTTTATCACTTCGAACGTCTTTAGAATATAAATGTGATAAACTCTAGATTGTGTAAAACTGAGTGAAGGAAAACAACCGGTAGAAGAAAAAAAAAAAAAAGTGAACACTTCCGTTATTACCTTTAAGATAAATCAACTGGAAAATTATATATTTTTACAGCATCAATAAAGGAGCATCCTGTGTGTACTCTGGTGCGCCTCTACTACTTTATCACAAACATGATTATTTTCTAACCGTTGTTATCGGTAATGTCAGTCTTTATCTCTGCAGCTTGCAACAACGTGTGTTAATCAAACACAGCGAGAAGACTTTGTTCAGACATTGACACATGACATCACAAAGACTGATGTCGTTCAATACACGAACTGTACTGATCTGATGCTGCAAATATTCAGTTCACTTCAGTTTATTTCTACAGCGCCAAGTCACAACAGAAGTCATCTCAGGGCACTGAGCAGAAACACTCATGTGCATAAAAAGTAAGTTGATATTATTTATCTGAGGAGCAGACTGCTTTGAGTTTGACTTCATTGCAGACTCATCTTGAGCAAGCATAAAAGGCGACAGCGGCAAGGAAAAACTCCCTCATGAGGAAGAAACTTTTAGCAGAACTAGACTCCGGACAAGCGGCCATCTGCTTCGACCGGCTAGACAGGAAGGAGGAACAGATACACAATGGCAGGTCGAGAATCACGTTAAGATAGAAATAATTTCAAATAAAAACTATTCAATTTTAACAATTCATTTTAAAAGGAATGAAGTCAATTTGTCCTCAAGTTGCCAAAGCCTCTTGCAGCATAACAAACCAACCCTAACTATAGGATTTATCAAAAAGGAAAGTCTTAAGCCCAGTCTTAAAATGGACAACGAGTTAGCCTTAAAGGAAGAATCTGGAAGTTGGTTCCACAAGAGAGGAGCCTGATAACTGGAAGATATTCCTCCCATTCTGCTTTTGGAAACTCTAGGAACCACAAGTAAGCCTGTGGTCTGAGAGTGAAGTGCTCTGTTAGGAAAATATGGAACAATAAGATCTGTAATATAAGATGGAGCTAGGTTGTTGAGAGTGTAGGTTAGAAGTAAGATTTGAACTATATTCTGGATTTGACAGGGAGACAAAGGAAAGAAGCTAAAACTGGAGAGATATGATCTCTCCTACTAACTCCAGTTAAGACTCTGGCAGCAGCATTTTGGATTAACTGAAGACTTTTTAAAAGAAGAATTTGGACACCCAGATAATAAACCATTGCAACAGTCCAGGTTGGTTTACAAAGTTTTGGTCTACATGTGATAAATGCATGAACCAGTTTTTCTGCATCATTTTTAGATAAGATGTTTCTAATTTTAGCAATGTTACGCAGGTGGCAGAAGGCAGTTCTAGTAAGGTTTTAAATGTGGGTTGTTAAAAGGCATGTCCGGATCAAAAATAACACCAAGATTTTTAACATTAGAACTGGAGGCCGGATTAATGCCATCCAAAGAGGGTGAAAGACTGAAAAATGTATTCCTAAGATGCTCAGGTCCAAAAACCAAAACCTCCATTTTGTCTGAGTTTAAAAGCAGAAAATTTTGGGTCATCCAGGTTTTTATGTCCTTAAGACATTCTTGTAGTCTAAGTAGCTGATTGGATTCATTGGGTTTCATGGACAAATATAATTGTGTATCATCAGCATAACAATGAAAATATATCCCATGTTGTTTAATAACTTTACCTAATGGAAGCATATATAAAAGGTAAAGAGTATTGGTCCAAGCACTGAACCCTGAGAAACTCCATGACTAACTTTGGTGTATGAAGAAGATTCATTATTTATATTTACAAATTTGAATCGATCAGATAAATATGATTTGAACAATTTTAGAGCTGTTCCTGTAATTCCAATATCATATTCAAGTCTCTGTATTAGAATATTATGATCAACTCAAGAAGAGCTTATATTTTATCCTAAAGATAACTGACTTGTATTAATTAAATATGGAGAACTTGAGGATTATTGAAAGTAAAAGTGCAAAAAGAAAATGTTCTAGAGAGCCAAAAAAAAAAACATACCGGATTATTCTTATCCTCCTGGATGCGGTAACGAGTGATGAAAGACGGTTTACCGGTGGTGTCCACCAACAGCAGGAGACCATTAAACACCCAGAACATAACAGTAGGGGCTAACATTGTTCCTGTCAAGATAAAAAATAAATAAAAACAATTAAACTTAATAATAAAACTTATACATTTGAAATGAGGGCACCACTTTAAAATCCAGAATCTTAGGTCAAACTCAGTCAGAATATTTGGCATTACCGGGGATGCACGGTGACATCTGGTCATCATTCTGGCACAAATAGACTTTAAATTAAACATCTTATTGTGGCCATTTTCACGAGTGTCACTTCATAAGATTTCCTCTAAAACCAGTAAAAGATAAATTCCATGTATTTATTTATTTTTTTTTTTTTTTAATTCAGTGCAAACTTGGCACATTTTCTTGCAAGCTGAAACAAAAATCCCAAGATGTTTAAATTTTTTTTCTTTTACATTGAAATTTTACAGAGACGATTATAATACGTAATCACACCAGTACACCTTATGTTATAATTCTTGTAATGATTGTATCATTTATATGAACACAGATAATATTTGTATGAGAAATAAAACCAGTTTTGACAACAGTTACTGAACTTAACTGACCTTTCTTTTCTGCCGAGTATCAAATACAGGAACCTTATTATTTTGGCCTCATGTAGCTTAAAACAAACCCCTGTTTGTATCTAACAGGAATAAACTGTGTGCAATTCAATTACCATATAAACAACACAACTACTGCAAACTTTCTATGCAAGAATCATAAACCCACTTCCAGAGAAATTAATAAAGATCCATGAAATATTTATATTATGAGCACTGCTCATTAGATCAGAAACACAACTGATTTTGTTTTAACGTATTGTTCCGTGAAGTCCTAAACTATCAATCTGATGTCTGAGGGAAGTAAGTCTGTATTCAGATAACCCACTCCAAAACCCAAAGAGCATACAATAAAGGACTGGCTGCTAACACGCCAAAGCCAGACCTACTGAGCCTACGTGTTTTTGGTCTACACCCTGACTGGTCACATATCCAGTATACAATGGTCATACCGTTATGGATGATTTGAAAATGGTTTTGTATGTAATGAACAGTTTACTGCTTACCTAAATAAAACAAAGCAGCATCATGTCCCTCAAATGCCAAGTGGACCTTTGTCCACAAGTTCTGCCAGAAGTCTCCTGAAGCTCCCCAAAACCTCTGAAGGTGCCTGTTAGAAGAAGCCAAGTTTCAAGTTCAACACATAGTTCTTCGTATGTGGTAAACATTTCTTATTATTGTTCTTTTTCCGTTGGCAAAACCACTAAGAAAAGATTTTGTCCCCAAAAAACCGTGGTCCATATCTGTCAGAAAACAAGAGGAGTGTTATGAATGACAAATATACCAAATGTCTGTGGATAGATAAATCAGACCATCGAACGTAAAAAAAAAACCCCCAAAAAAACCATACAATTATGAGTTCTAACATTTCCAGTGAAGCTCAAATCTCCAAGGTAGACTGTACTAAAGATATTCAAACATTGCAAAGAGGCATGTGTTTAACTCCATCTGTTAGTTTTAGTTGTACCATATTCCACCTAACTACATCATATTGTGTTACTTTAGTTTGTTACCTTCATTTCTTGTCCCATAGGTTGACTCATATCCAGCAACATTATGTCTAAAACCTGCTGGGTAATCTTCACGTCTTGAGCATTTTAGCTCAATCACGTTGTATGTCGCTTCATTTAATACTTGAACATTGTGGCACACCTTGAAATACCGTCACAGAACGTCAGATACATCCAACACCATGAACACTGTCATCGTCAAAGTCAGATGCATAAAATACCATTGAGCTTTGTTGTAGTTGTGTGCGCTACTACAAGGTTTGCTAGTGAGCCGATACAAAGTACACTGAACAAAAATATAAATGCAACACTTTTGGTTTTGCTCTCATTTTTCACAAGCTGAACTCAAAAATCTAAGACTTTTTTGTATGTACACAAAAGGCCCTTTTTGCTCAAACATTGTTCACAAATTTGTGTAAATCTGTGTTAGTGAGCACTTCTCATTTGCCGAGATAATCCATCCACCTAACCCAATGCTGAATAGACAGCATGATTATTGCACAGGTGAGCCTTCACAATAAAAGGCCACTCTAAAATGTGCAGTTTTATCACAACATAATGCCACAGATGTTGTAAGTTTTGAGGGAACACGCAATTGGCATGCTGACTGCAGGAATGTCCACCAGAGCTGTTGCCCATGAATGTTCATTTCTCTACCATAAGCCATCTCCAAACATGCTTCAAAGAATTTGGCAGTACATCCAACTGGTCTCACAAGCGCAGACCAAGTGTAACACCAGTCCAGGACCTCCACATCCAGCATCTTCACCTCCAAGATCGTCTGAGACCAGCCACCCTGACAGCTACTGCAACAATCGGTTTGCAGGACCAAAGAATTTCTGCACAACTGTAAAAAACCATCTCAGAAAAGCTCATCTGCATGATCATTGCCCTAATTGGGGTCTCCATCCGACTGCAATTCGTCATCGTAACCGACCAGAGTTGGCAAATGCTCACAGTTGATGGAGTATGACACATTGGAGAGGTGTTCTCGTCACGGATAAATACTGGTTTTTACTGTACAGGGCAGATGGAAGACTGCACAAATGGCAGACTGGTGTTGTGTGAGTGAGCGGTTTGCTAATGTCAACGTTGTGAATCGAGTTGCCCATGGTGGCAGTGGGGTTATGGTATGGGCAGGACTACGTTATGGACAACGAACATAGGTGCGGTTTTTTTAATGGCATTTTGAATGCACAAAGATACTGTGACAAGATCTCAAGAGCCCATTGTCGTGCCATTTATTCACGACCATCACCTCATGTTGCAGCATGATAATGCACGGCTCCCATGTTCAGCCCCATCTGCACACAATTCCTGGAAGCTGAAAACATCCCAGTTCTTGCATGGCCAGCATTCTCACCGGACACGTCACCCATCGTGCATGTTTGGGATGCTCTGGATCGGCGTATACGACAGCGTGTTCCAGGTCCTGACAATATCCAGCAACTTTGCAGCCATTGAAAAGGAGTGGCCCGACATGCCAAACGTCACAATCAACAACCTAATCAACTCTATATGAAGGAGATGTGTCGCACAAAACTGCACTTTTTAGAATGGCCTTTTGTTGTGGTCAGCCTAAGGCTCTCCTGTGCAACAATCATGCTGTCTAACCAGCACCTTTATATGCCGCACCTGAGAGGTGGATGAATTGTCTCGGCAAAAGGAGAAGTGCTCACTAACACGGATTTACACTAATTTGTGAACAATATTTGAGAGAAATCACCTTTCGTGTACATAGAAAAAAGTCTGATCTTTTTCAGCTCATGAAAAATGAGAGCAAAAACAATATTGTATTTATATTTTTGTTCAGTATTAAAACAGGTCAGTATCACCGATAGATACCAAATACCAATACAATACTTTTTAATAATTCAAGTGGATGCATCAAATTGCTAATTATGAATACAATTAAGACCTTTTAGTTGTTTTTTCCCCATTAGATTATTAATTAAATAAAACTCTACAAAGACACTGGACAAGGATTATGGGACTTGCCGTTGTATCATTCTGGGGTTGAAAATACAACATGGCACTCCTCTTGTCTGCCAATTCCTACTGCGCCTGAATAAGTCAGACCTTACGTCACATACAGGTACAACATCAAAGCACAAGAGGAGGGAGGAGGAGGAGTGTGGCTGCTTCGCTGTTCATAGTGACAAGAGCGGCACTTGGAAGCAGCGGGAGGTACCGGCACACAGAAAGCTACGTAAAGTCGAAAATCCACATCAGCTCAGACTGAAAACTGAATTTTAAGTAATTACAATGGTATTGGTGGAAATCGATAGGCCCGTCACAATAACAAATTTTGCTGAGCGATTAACTGTCTCAGAAATTATTGTGATAAGCGATAATATTGTTTGAAATTTGACAATAGTTTGTAATTATTGTCAAATTAAAGAAATGTTGGTTCATTTGTTTTGCATGTAGTACCTTTTTTCAACCACCAGATGGCAGTATAAGACTGTTTGAACCGAAGGATGGCTAGTGAGGGAGCGAGCAGCGTGTCTCTTTAAGAAAAATGGGAGGGAGGCCCCTTGACGTGACATGGGCTGTCTCACCTACCTTTTTTTTCTGGTTCTCAAAATGGTAGACGCTCTGTGTAGTTTGAGCTCTTTAGCATTTTTCACACAAATCTTTTAATTTTTTTTTTTTAAGTCAATAAACAAGTCATCAGCTTTTTTTTGCAGAGAAAAACAAATTTTTACACGAAGACACGGGTTTCAACCATGAATTTTGGAGTTTCAACAAGACAGGTTCCCCCCCCCCCCCC